GACGGCTAAAAGGACATGGCAAAGCTTCATCATGATGCTTGGAAAGGTAGAGGGAAGGTCAGTGAAAGAAAGGAAGGTCCTCAACAAGATGAACTGATACCGTGTCTGCAGCAACTGGGCTCAAGTGTGTGAGGTTGGTACAGGATAGGACATGGTTCAGATCTGTTTATAGGGTTGCTATGAGTCGTACTTGAATTGACAGCACATAATGATGTTAACAATGTGTTCAGACAGTTGTAACAGTCAAACCTGCCATTATTACATAAGTAAAAGATGTGTCAAATCACTTGGTTTCCTCTGCACACACAAGCACATTATTCTTGTTGCTGTAGTGTTTGGTTTTTTTGATCAGTGATTTTGTCAAATTTTCTAGTGTCTTAGTTATAATGCTGTGGCAATTAGTATTTGCAAACTTGACTTTTATCAATGACTTTTGAGAAAATGAAGCAGTCATTAAAAATTAATTTAAAAAAGGCAAAGGCTTTGCTCAATACTGTAAATAAAAAATATAACTCAATGTGAAATTTTCAAGTTTGTTATATTAGTATAATCTAAGGATGATTACATTAAAGAAGTTTACAAGTGTATTTGGCACATTTTTTTCTGATTAAAACGGATACTAAACATTTCTAAATAAGTATTCTGTCTGTTCCCACTCAGGAGATTGTGGGTGGGTTCTTACACTTGTGGTGACACCACCTAGATCTAATTCACCACAGGCATCAGCAAATCATTCACAGCTCATCAGTAAGACTGGAGTATTCAAATACCTTGGATGGAAGGGGAAAAAAGGGAAATCTAGGCTTCAGTAATAAATGTCCTTTCCCTCAAAGCTTTTTTTCTGTATTTATCATGGAATGGTAATTTATCATTGGGAAGTATAGTTTTAAAAATCCACTGCTTCTGATTTCAACTCATAGCAACTCTACTGAACTAGATTGAGCTTCCAGAATTGTGACTCTTCACGTAAGAGTTTCCTCTCCCTCCCAGAGCATTAGTGAGTTCAAACCAACCTCTTCTTGGTTACAGAACTAAGGACGATGCCCCTAGACCTCCACTAAGGTATTATTCATTTCTCTTGCCTAGGAAGCATCGGCAGTACAGCATGCCAACTAGGGCTGCTAGAGTAGCTGTTACACCAGGCTCTTCTTGGCTAAGGAATATTATGCGTTCCCAAGGAAAGGTGTCCATGGCTTAGGTTCCTAGGATTTTGTTTAGTGTTCTGATTTAAATACCGACCCCCAGGAACATCTACCCTTGCTTCATGTTTCTTCATAAAAATTCCATTGGGTTTACCCAGCCCTTTGTGTTCCTTGCAGAAAGGCCACAGTGCTCCTCACACTCAGATATCAAACAGATGCTATGGATCACTACAAAGCTAGATATATTTCAATAGGAAGAAGAAATGATTGTTACTTCATCTCAAAGCATATTCCGAGAGCATTAGTCACTTAAGCTTTGAAATCTCTGGATAAAAAATTCTTTAGAATCTCAAAACCATGATCACTTTTCTAATAGAACTGTCGCCTTGTACACCCAGCAGTATATTTTACAGAAGACAAATTAACTGAAGGCTTTTATTACATCTAAAGAGCTCTACATAAACAGGTAACATTCAATAGTAAACAATTTTTTTCCAATGCATGTAATAAATATTTCCACTTGGTACTTTTATACAAACTGACATTGGTCTACTATACATTTTTAAAAGCCATTTTACTGGTTTGGCATGCGGTATGGAAATTCTAAGAGAGAAAGTTTTAAGGCAATGAATCACAGATTTAAGTTCATGGAATTTATGGTAACTTTTTTATCTGTTTATATACATTTCCCCTTTGTTAATTAAACAATTAACAGCAGCACACTCTGGGACCACCAGCTATTCTTCCTTCCACTTTGAAATCTAAGCTTTGTGTTTTATTAAAAAAACAGAATTTTAACATGTAAAACAAAATCCTTACTAAAATAATTTTAAATGTCCTTTAAAGTCTCAAAGAGCTGAAAATATGTCTTTAAAATGGATTTTTTTTTAAAAAAACAATGTGCTTCCTATAGTTATTAATTTTAAACTGATAAAGGGTTTCAGATACTGGACTCAAAGGAAAATCTGCTGAGGAATCACATTTTCAAAAGCTTAAGTAAATCTTTCCTCAGTCAGTAACCATACAGAATTGGGATAATGCCTAAATTAACAGTAGAAAAATTTTAATGCTTAAAATAGTTAACCAAATGGTTAAATGGTTAAAGTTCAGATTGTTGTAAAAAGATGTATCCAATAATGCCCACAAAGTAATTAAAAGCCACGTCAACCCTACTACTCAGTTATTTTATCAAAGATGTGTGCATATACATACATACACACACATACTACACACAGTACTGTACAGAAATACATACACACAAACACACACACTTATTATGAAAGACCAAGGCAAGGAGAAAGTTGTCACACTTGCCTAAAGATTCTGAGACTATTTGTCCACAGAAGCATGTCAATACTGGTAGAGGGTGGGGAATGAGGATGGACTGAGGGGGAAAAAAAAAGGATGAAATGACTAAGCTTTTTTTTTTGTTTGTTTTTTAATTAGGAAATGAAATAAAGATGCAGTGACACTAATTATTATTACAGAAAAATCACTGATTGATATCAACTATGAGACCAATTGTGATAAATACTAATAATGCATCATTCTGGACAGTCAACAACTAAAAGAAAACAAACTCCTCACAGAATGGAATGACAAAATAAAAAAGACAACCAAATGGTTAATTTCTTCCATGTAGATATGACAATAGCCACATTTATTTCTCCCTATTATCTGTTCTTCCCTTGGATTTGGTACAACACAGGAAATGAATGAAATTAAGCCCAATCAAAACTGGGCTAAAGAAAGTATAGGGAAGGGTTTTCAACTGCAGAGTTTAAAAGAACAATTGAGTTACCACATACAGTTATTGATCAGAGTTTTGAGACCACTAACAACATAAAGAGAGATTTAAAAAAAGCTATTCTTCTTACCTTAGGTTGTTAGATGAAGTAATAGCAATATGAATCCTATTGCAATGTGAAGAAGCAACTGCCCACAATTTAAGTAATGTCTACCTCAATCCAAATTTAAACACAAATTATACTATCAAGTATTAGTCTAAATGAATGTCAGTGAGAATTCTTAAAATATTTATTCACTGTAATACCAGATTAAATTTTTGTAAAAGTAGCTCTTTCCTGTTTTAACTCACAATGAATCCATTTTTGTTATACTTTTTATTATTGCAAATTGTTTAGTGACTATAACTCAGCCATATATGTGTGGAATACACATGCATGGGGGAAGACTATATAACTCACTTACCACTCACACACATTGTCTATAAATACATATATACATACACACACATATACATATCAACACCAACTTTGTCCCCAAAATTCAAGTCAACAATTTAGTGGCAGAGAGATGCTATAAAAAGCAGACATTAATTTTTGATGCCACACAGTTATATGAACCATTAAGTTTAGCATACAACTGAAGATACAGCCATTGTGAATTCTACCTGAAATAAGTCATTTGTTACCAAAGCAAGGTTTAAAAAGAAGTTTATACACAAAAAGTGGTCCTTCGTCAACTCTGAGAACAACGCGTTGGCATTAGCAGTTGTGATATAGAAATCCAGTCTGGAAAGTTGGCAACAATTACACCCCTTCTTTATCCTTTCTACTCAACCTACACAGTCAAGCAGCTGTAAAAATACTTTCCACACCTGAGAATGTACTATTTTCTCTGATGAGGATTTTGGGACACAAGCAGAACCACTTTCCCTTTTCTCTAGCCCTCACTCATCTCCTGAAAACAGTTTTTAATATATTTACACCTTCCGTTATTAATAATAATAGGTCAGACTGATCCATGAATTCTAAAAAGAAAATGATTTTTCCTATGGCATGCTTGTTTTTAAAAAGATGAAAAAACACGCTCCCCCCACCCTATCCCACCCCAAAGGAAGAAAGAAAACAAAACAAAACACCAGGGTAGACAGGCTATGAAAGCAAGTACACTCCAAGGAAAAACTAAGGACCAAGTGCATTTTCAATCCCAACTGTTTATCAAATAGCAGACATCTAAGACTGACTTGTGTGTTGCACTGTATTTTCAAAGCAGAACCTAACTTTTAGGATCACTGACTTTCTTTTCTAAGGTGATGCCACCTCATCTTGGTCAGCTGCACGAGACATGCAACAGGGCTTTTCTAAGCTACTTTTACGTCCTACTTTGGTATGATCTGACGTGAAAACTCAGTACCCTGTAGCCAAAATGGTAGGTGTTCACAGACTTTGCTTAAATACACAATACTGGCAGCCCAGATTTTGAATAAAAAACTAGACTAAAAGTGTATTATTCACAGGTCTGTAAAGCCTACTCTTAATTCTTACCCTGACAGTTTGATTTTACTACCTCTAAAATATATTCTCAGGGGGCATACAGCAAATAAAGAGAGAATATGTGATGGAGAACATGCAATTGGGAGAGCCAATAAAGATGCTTATGTGTGAATTCAAGGCCTTCAAAGCACTTTGAAAGAAGCAGGCAACTGACATATCAACTGAATGCAAAGTTGGGAGGAGAACAGTAATGACAAGAAAATACGCACAGACCCACACACTGAACACACACCCCCACAAGCTATGTCCTGAAAATACACAGGGAATGCAGTGGGACAGATGAGATTTATAACTTAAGGCTGGATGAAATATGCACACACACAAATAGAATTCAACTCTTTTTTTTTTTAGCAAATGGAAATTAAATCTATCTCCCCCCCAATCCCTTCCCACAACAGAAAAGCCCACCATTTAAAACATGCATTTCCTTTTGTTATTGCAAATAAAATAATGCCATCTGTCTGAAGTAAAGAAAACCAAAACCATAGGACAAAGGATGAACATCTTCAGAATCCAGAAAAAAATCAACTGAAGGTGGTTGTGGGTACTTTTTTCTTCCTTTTTTTTTTTTTTTAAACAAGTGTTTTATCAGACAGGCAGTCTTAGATTTATATACAAAAGTAAAACTGAAAATATAGTTTTGTTCTCTGTACAATTCTTTTAATTTTTTCCCTAAAAAAAGGAAAAAAACCCACGCTTGTGTACTTTTCTAAACAGAATAAGGTAAAACAGAGCACAAAGTTCTCTTCTTTCTGCCAAGTGTTCATTTAATCTGGGCTGGGAGTGGGAGCAGCAGGGGCAGGGGGATCAGTCCAAGGAAATGATGTCTGGTATGATGCCGAAGATGGATGCTGTGTCCGCACTGCTCCGGTTCGTGACCGTGTGGCTATGGCTCTCCCGCAGGCTGTTGGAGGACACAAGGCTGCTGTTGCTGCCACTACTGCTTCCATTGGTGGTTGGCAGAGAAGTACTGCCTCCTGCACTTAATTGATCGAGAAACATCTGTGAGGAGGTATACGGGAAAAAGCGGGATGAATGTAAGAGGTCTTGATCATCTGAAACTGCTGCTGCTGCTGCGGCAAGAAGGGAAGTGTTGTAATGCTAGAAAGGGGTAAAAAAACCAAAGACAAAAACATGCGTTAATCCTACTAGTTAGTAAGTACATAAGTATTTACTAACATACCTAGTGTTTCTAGATGTTTACTAAGATAATGCAAATACAAATGGCTTTTCTATAATCATCTTTTCTTAAGTCTTTTATGAAAATATGTTTTTTATTTTATATTGGTTTGTGTCATCTAAAGACTTAAAGAGACTTTTTCTATCTGAAACTTGGGGGGAAAATATGAATTAACATTTTTTACTTTGTACTGCAAAAAATTCTCAAAATTCTATTTCTAAAGAGGTTTGGAAGAAACAAAAAATTATTTTTTCTTATTGGAGTTATCTGTCCAAAAAGCTTATCAGTCACTCAGTCCCTCCAACTCACTGTCCTGTTTCTCTTAAAGAGAAAGCAACAGTGGACAGTGTTATCAGACCCTGTTCCCATGATACCCTCAGACAGAGAGAAAACAAAAGGATTCTTACTTAAATGTAACAATAATAGGTATAAAAACATTTGAGTTTTCCAAGGAAACTTATTTTTCTTTCTCTCAGCTACAGATTAAGAAGACTAGATGGTGCAGTATTTAGCCCTTGATGCTAACAAAGTCAGCAGTCTGAATAAGCTTGTGGTTCTTTAGAAGAAAAGACCAGGTGATATGCTTCTGTAAAGATTACAGTCTAGAAAAACTCTAGGACAGTTCTACCTTCTCATATAGGGTCTCCATGACTTACAATCAACTTGACAGAACACAACAATGTCACATTAAATTTTCTGAGAAAATGTATTTTCTTTCTCTTAAAAGAAATATTACGCTTTTAAAATATTTTAATGTTTAGTTAAAATAATTTCCTCATTTTGCATACCTGATTGTCTCCTGATAAGAAAGGAAAGAAATCTAATCCTGTAGAAAATAAAGACAAAAGTTAGCTTTGAAAAACATGTACAAAGAAAAAAAACCCTGCCAAATGGACCACTACTGGGTGAACCTGGAGGACATTATGCTGAGTGAGGTATCTCAGTCACAAAGGGACAAATGCTATATGGTGCCACTGTTGTAGAATGAGGCTGGCATTGGGGTGGGGGTAAGACTGAGAAAAACTGGATGGAATATGTTTATGGCATTGAAGTCTATGGGGGAGAGAATAGTCTAAAAGTATTATATTTTAGGGCATTATTTTTATCGTAGGAGTATGCAATGAGGGTTGCAGAGTGGATTATATTTGGGGGTAGGAGGTGGGGTTTGGGGAGGTGCGGGGGGGGATTGTGTAACAATGAGGGAGTTTTTCTTTTGCTTTTCAAGGAGAAGAGCAAATGGGGGGGGAGGGGGGAGGGGTTTGTGCGGGGAGAAGGGTGCAACAATGAATGAATGGAATCCCAAAATCTCTGTAGATGTTCATTGAAATGAAAAATAAACAACCTAAATTTAAAAAAAAAACAACAAAAAAACAATCAGAACAAAAAAAAAATAAAAATGCTAGGTCATTTAGAATTTTTAACATGTAGTGAGTTGAATAAGCATAATGGTCTCCCATCTCTAGATTACTAAGGCTGACATCCAAGTTTTAGAAATGATCTATCTCCCAGCCCTGTGACTCCATCTGTGGGGCTTGGGCCACTGATGCCTTTACATCTAAAACCAACCCCTAAACTGGCAAGGCACTTTCCCCAAAACACTCTCAGTAACATTTCACCTCTGCAGTAACATACACCTCTGCAGTAACATTTCAATCTAATTTACTCTCCACAACTATCTCATAAAGGCATATCATCATTTTCAGCCTCATTTTGCATAGGTGAAAGACTGAAATGGAAAGAGCTAAGAAAATTGTAGCCGCACTTTTCTGTTTTCAATTGCTTTACCAACACTGTTTATTGACAATTAAGTACCACTTGTAACCAAGCACGACCCACAAGCTTTGCTCAGCAGCACAAGGCAGGAAGAGACCTGAAAGCTCATATGGTAGTTACTACAAAACAATCAGCCCTGATTGCTTAATTCTCGGGGGTTCTCTGCAAGGCCTCTTTCGAGCCACATACTTGCCCATATCATCCATGTGTTAGGAACTGTAATGTGCTGTATGATGCAATGTATAATATGATGAAGTGCAACTAAGTTAATGTCACTAAACTGTCTCATTATGATATCTAATCTTGGGAAATACTACAACAAACATGTAGGTAAAAATACAGCAAACCACATATACTCTGAATGTTATATGGGGATCCATTCACTGTCAACAATAATAGATTTCAATACAAGGAACAGCAAAATGTATAGCACTGTGAATCATAGTAAGATGTGGCAGTGTGCTAAGTAAGATAGGGCTGCATGGTTCAGTACAGCAGCTACTAACCACAGGTGGCTATTTAAATGTATTCAGATTAGTGGAAATTAAAATTCAGTTCTTTTTTTTTTTTAAGTTTTCTTATTTTTGTGTGTGTTTACCGTCAAATCGGATCTGACTGGTACAGGAGTAGATTTTCCCTCCTTCTCCAGCAGAGCATCTGGCAGATTTGAACAGCACGCTTCTGGGATTGCAGTGCTAAAATTCAGTTCTTAATTCACACTACTGACATACAGGACTGATAGTTACTGTACTGGGCAGAATATATGAATACATTTCCTATAGCACAGAAAAGTTCTATTAGACAGTTTTCATAACAATCAAAAATAATCCACTCAACTTTTTAAGTTCATCTGCCAATGGGCCTATAATTTTTTGTAGAATCTCAGGCCCTACAGAGAAGATTCTGAGTGACTTAGCTGACTGGCCATCATTCATGAGGGCAGGTCTGGTTAGTACTAAGAAGATCCACAGGCTTTCTCAGCTTTGGTGGAACAGCACACAGGAAGCTGTGCTGCTAACCCAAAACGTGGTATCTCTCAGGCAGTGCAAATCCATCAGCTGCTCCATGGGAGAAAGATGGGAAATCTGTGCAATTCATGGCCTCCAAAAACCTGCAGGAGGGTCAGCTAGGAGCCCATTCAGACATGTGCGTTTTTAATAGGCTTTCTAGCCCAGCGGGAATGTGGGTGGGGCCAGGAAATGGAAGTACTTAGGAAGGAAGTCAGTGTGCAGGCTTGCTGGTCAGAGAGCTGGTATCTTACTGATAAAGTTATAGGACGTAACACTAAATAAAGCAAGCACGAAAACCACTAAACTCAAAACCAGCCTTTATAGGAAAACACCTAATAAGATGTAACAGGAGAAATTCATGAGGCAGGCAAAACGTCTACACACTTGCTGCTTCTCAAGTACACAGCCTTAAGAATCTTTCTAGTTAACTGGCTCAGTTTAACCATCCCAACCTCCAACTCATTATCTTCTTAAAATAGAGAACTCCTTTTAGAGGGAAGTCATGCGCACCCATACTTAAAGAATTTTATATAATCATGTATCTCTACTGAAGGGTAAGTCATTCCTCAGTCAGACAATTCAAACAATACTGAAATCATCTGCATAACACTCCTGATATATAAAGGCATGTGAAGGGGATGGATGGATGTTGTGTTCCCCTACCAATCCAACTTTCTCCTTTCACCTTACATTTCTCTACTGAATTATCTAAAATGTGCATTCAGGTGGGTTTCAAATGAACAATTTTCTTAGATTATATGGTTAGTATATAAATTATTAAATGACAAAGATATATATGAAAACTAAAAATTCTTTGTGATAATGCAAATAATTATACTGTACAAATGAATGCACAGATAGCTCAAATTACTATTCAAAAGAAGGACCAGGTTCACTGAAACAAAAATAGCGATGCCAAATGCCTCTTAATTTTAACTATAATCAGGGAAAAGAAGATAATGTTCACAAACATAAAAATTCAATGCAACATATTGGAAGCCATCCAAATACCACTTGCAGAGTATTCTATTCTGAAGCATAAAGTCTAAACACCATGAAAACATGGGTTATGGATGAAAGTACAATCGAGAACCTTGGTCTGTATCTATGGTCACATTACACACTGCCCCTCAACCCTCAGTTCCATGGGTCCAAGTCTCTACATCTTCCCAGACTCTCTAGTCTTCCTCAAATTTACTCAGAAGAGGACTATATAGATCACAAGCATTCTATGTGGCAATATGAAAGAATCAGTAACTTACCTTGTAAGTCATAAGGCATGGGTGTCATGTGGAAAGGATGCCTATAGTCTTGGATAAGGGATGTGTTAATGTAGCTTGTATCTACAGCAGGGAGGCTTGGGGTGCGGGACACTGGGGACGCTTGATGTGGAAGACTTAAAATGCTGTAAGAAAAGGTATGCACAATTTTCATGAGTCAGTTCAATGTTTAACAGAGAAAATGCATTTCAGAGTGAGTTCTACCTTTTATGCTGAGGGTTAAAAAAACAGGGAGCAATGTATAAGTTAGACTATCAACAATTACTAGGCTATGTCTGTCCAAGTTATCTAATATTGCTATACTAGATACACCACAGTGACTTTAACAAACAGCAATGTATTCTTTTATAGTTTAGAAGGCCAAAGTTCAAATTTAGGGCAATTCTAAAGGGCAGCCTTCTTTGTTGGTTGTTGGAGGAAAAGTCCTGGTTTTCCTTCAGCTTCAGCAGGCCTGGTATTCCTTTCCCATTGTTAAGGAGCCTCATTAAATAAGGGCCAAAGTGCAAGAAGAAACATTTCAATCCTCATAATTATTTCATGGTATTCCCCTCTTGATTCACTTTCCTCCCCTTTTATCTCTAGTGGGATAAAAAGTATTAAAGGCAGAATTTGTTCTTGAAAACAAGGCATTCAAATTTTGTAAATAAACTAGTTGTTGTTAAGTGCCATGAGTCGCAGGTGGACTCATAGTGACCCTATGAAGGAGAGTAGAAAAGAAAAAAAAAGGTATCACAGGCAGTAACACCATAGGGGAACTACACTTCCCTCTCATGAAGGCTGTGAGATCAGGGAGTATTGCATTTTCCTCTTAATCCTCCTCCTAGTTGGTCTATTGGCTCAGGGAGGATTATAACTTCCATATGTGTTGTTGTTAAGTACCACTGAGTCATAGACAACCCATAGCAACCCTATGAACAAAAGTCCTGAACCCTGTAGTGTAAATATCGTGTTTCTCTCAGTTCATAGAGTTTCCAGAGACAAGCTATTTCGGAAGTGGATACCACTCTTGCTTCCAAGCTTGTTTCAATCTGGAAGCTCCACCAAACACTGTCCATGGGTAACCATTATCACATTTCACACATCAGTAGCATCACCATAACCATGAGTTACCTCAGTAAAGCAAAGTGAACGAACAATTCTATACACATCATTTTATGTATGTATTTGGAGAGAGGGGTGGGGTGGAGAAGTCCCAGCAAAGGAACAAGACAAAGGATATGTATGTAGCAGCCTGAGCAGTCAGGCTTAAAATGCTAGACAACCAGACTTTTAAGCTTTAGAACAGAAACTCTATCGTGTTTACCTGAGTATATGTAAAGTTTAGCACACTGTTCGGCATTTTGTTGTGTTGTTTGGTTTAAAAAAAAAAAAAAAAAAGGTTCACTGAACGAATGAAGGCATGGGACTGGTCCAAAATGATGAAGGGTTTTAAAAGGCCAGTGAGTCCAACCCAACTCGCAGAGACTGCAGAACTGGGTTTCTATGAAGCAGACTGCTTCTTTTCTTCCCTACTCGGCAAGCAGTGGATCTGAACTGGCAACCTTTTAGTTAGCAAATAAATGCTTTGACCAAAACACCAAAAGGGCTCTTTAAGAGAAAAAAAAAATAGTATAACTGAAAAAAGACCTCATGATGGAGGGGACGGGTGAAAAAACAAGTTTGGTACAAGGGGGATTTGCGGAGACAGGGAGCTAAAAGTTACAGGTCAATAGTAATTAACTATAGACAGCTCAACATACAGAAATAATTGTATAAAACAAAATGTACATGAATGAATAATTGCATAAAAAGGAGTAATGATATAAATAATACATTTTTAAAGACAAACAGAAAAAGGAAAGACCCCAGAAAAAGAGGGTAAAGTATCTAAATAACTGAGTGCCAAAAAAGTTTTACCCCTTTTAAAAAAAAATCAAGGAAAAATAAGTAACAAGAAAGAAATTAAATTTTTCTCTACACAGTGGCAGCAGCAATGGGCTCAAGTATATCAGAGATGGCAGGATGGAACAGAATAGGACAGGGTTCAGATTGTTGTTGACAGGGTCAATGACAACACAAAGAACTTAAAACAGTCTCAAGTGGAAAGATAAAGGTCACACCCTTTATCTAACAACAATAAACTATGTTCTCCAAATTAAGATAAAAGAGTTTATCTTTTGTTTACAAAACGTCACTTAAAGTCTGTGGGATGTGGAAATGCAATTTCAAAAGTACAGAATGTTTCTACAGATATCAAGGTTAGATTTCTAAAACCAGCTCTAGTTATGGCCATGTATCACATTTTTATGAATGGGATATGAAGCATGAAACACTCTCATCTGCCTCATATGAAATGTTCCATCTAATGGAAACTTTAATTAAACTTATGTCTATAAAAAGTACTGCAATTTTCTGTTAGCTGTTTCCTTTGACAATGCCTAAGGGATTAAGAGAAAGAAGTAAAAATGCTAGTATTTGAAAACACCTCAGTATACCAACAGTAAAGGACATTTCTTGATAAAATGTTAAATGTTAAAGCACACCTGGTGACTAAGATGGTAAAATGTTTTCTATTTATGGGTGGCATCTTTCTCCACCTAGATCTACTCTTTTTAATTCTGTAATTAATTTTCTTTTATTTTACTTTTAATTGTGTGTACTACTCTGAAATGTATTTCCACTTTTACATTGTACAATAAATGAAAACTAATACTCTCGGTTTCTGTTTCTAGTTACTGTAAATGTTCACTAATACTGGGCATAATACAAAAAGTCCCAAAAGTGACATAAACTTTTCAACTCTCCATTTTTTAAATCTGAATACAGAGAAAGAAAGACCTGGCATTTGCAAACACTTTAGCTGTGTTTAATTAGTTACTGAGATGCTCAGAAGTAGTTAATGCAACTAAAGTAACGTTGCAAGCATAAGAAACATTGAGTTCTATCTGGAGAAAGAATAAAGCATTCAAAGTCAAAATAATAGATTTCTAAGCACTCAACTATTTCCTGTAAAAGTAGGAAAACGTAAAGATTGCATAATTTATAGAAATATTATTAATATTATAAAGGATAGAAATATGCTATATATAATATTTATACAGATTTTTAAAACAATCTAATAATCTGTAATTACATTTTAAAAAGTCAGATATTATGTATTCAGTTTTATTATGATTTAGATGCTAAATATAAAACATCATGGAAAAAAATAAATAATTGCTCTAAAGAGGTTAGCGTCATCCAGTTTGGCTTTTTGTTGTTGTTCCTTATAAAATTTAAGAGGACTACTGGTTGTCCTTAAGGAGCTGTGTTGCTGACTCAAAGACTATATCTCTCTGATGGTTAAATTCAATCAGCGGCTCCACAGGGGAAAGGTGAGCTGTGTAATCAACAGCCTTGGAAATGCAGTGGATGGTCAACTATGGGCTCTGATTCAATGGCAACAAGTTTAAGCAAATATTCTAACTTCTAATAATCTTTGTAAATGTTTTAACTAACTCCTCAGGCCCTCTGGAAATTTAACAGAAATAGAAATTTTCTTAGTCATTACTGAGTTAGATAGATGGCAAAGAGGGAACAGTAAAGAATATTTTATACTTTGGTTTTTTTTTTGTTGTGTACCAACAAATCGGATCCGACTGGCACAGGAGGAGATTGTCCCTCCTTCTCCAGTGGACCATCTGCAGGATTTGAACAGTGAGCCTTTGGGATTACAGCACAGTTTCTTTCCAGTAGGCCACAAGGGCTCCCTTAGTAAAGCATTTTTAAAAGATGCTCTAGGTAGTTCTGATCTGACATACTTCAGACATGTTGCAAGGAGGGGCCCATCCTTGGAGAGGGACATTATGCTTGGGAGGGTGGAGAGACGCCAGGAGGGGAAGACCCTCAATGAGATGGACTGACTCAGTGACTGGGTTAATGGAGGTAGGTATGTCAGAGATAATAAGGTTGGCTCAGAACAGAGCAGGCTTTAGAGCTGTCAGACAAAGGGTTGCTATGATTCGCAAGCAACTCAAAGGCATGTAACAACAAAAACAACTAGTTGTGATGTACTCCAAAGTCTGAGTAAGAGAGTTATCTTGGGTTTGATGTATACTACAACCAAGACAAATTTATTTTGTAGCCAATGACTCCCCTTTATCACAATCTTTTAAAAACTCATCTATACTTCGACAGCTAAGTTTTAGAATAATGAAAAATCAGTATTTATTTGTTGGAACTTTTAATCCTTACCTTGCCAAGTTAACTTTTACCTTTTTAATGAAAAGAAAACAAATCTAAGCAAACAACAAGTATTTACCCTTTATTATTAAGTGATGATGTAGGAGACAGAGAAGGACAGGTCCTCTTTGCAGAAGGCTCTTCCTCTTCTTCATCAGATGAACTGTCTATGGTCAGATCAATCACTTCTACTTTCTTGTTTTTACTTGAGGACTGGTGGTGAGAAGTCACTTGATGCTCCAATGTGGAGCTCAAGCATCCTGTATGGGAGTAATTGCAAACATAAGGCGAAAAACTCCGTAACTTCTTTTCTCAGTGACCCTTCGGATTAACCCAGCACTTACTGCTTTGACCCATAAAATTGCTGGAGCCAGAGAATTAAAAACAAAACACAAACCATCCATCTAAAATAGGCTCTGCTCAGCTAAGCTTAAAAGTACTATTCTAAGGGGAGCTCTGGTGGCCTAGTGGCAAGAAGCTGTACTGCAATCCCAAAGGTACACGGTTCAAATCCACCAGATGCTCTGCTGGAGAAGAAAGGATAATTTCCTCCTGTACCAGTCAGATCTGATTTGACGGTACATGCACAAAAAATAATAAAATAAAATTAAAAAAAAAGTACTATTCTAAAACAACTATTAGATATTATCTCACTCCAGTAAGAATAGCAAAATTTAACCAAGCAGCAAACAGCAAATGCTGGCCAGGTTGTGGAGAAACTAGAACTGTTATTCACTGTTGGTGGGAGTGTAAAACGGTGCAACCGTTATGGAAGGCGGTATGGCACATTCTCAAAAAGTTGCAAATAGAAATACCATTTGACTCAGCAATTCCATTACTGGGAATATACCCTAAAGAAACCATAACTGCCACCCAGGCAGATATATGCACACCCATGTTTACTGCGGCTTTGTTCACAATAGCAAAGAGCTGGAAACAACCTAAGCACCCATCAACAAATGAATGGATAGAGAAGCTGTGGTATATTCACACAATGGAATACTACTCTGCATTGAAAAACAAGAAACTCATTAATTATTAGACAAAATGAGTGACCCAGGAGGACATTATGCTGAGTGAAAATATCTCAGTCACAAAAGGACAGGTGCTGCTACTGTAGAATGAGACTGAAATCAGGGTTGGGGTGAGACTGAGAAAAATTGGATAAATTATGGATACTGCATTGAAACAGATGAGGGAGAGAACTGTTTGAAAGCGATATATGATTAGGTATTATGGTTATGATGAGAGTTCAGAATGAAGGTTGCATAGTGGAGTGTACTTGGGGGAAGTGGTGGGGGAGATATATACCAATGAAGAAATTTTACTTTTCAAAGAGAAGAGCAAACTGGGGGGGAGAGGTGGGTAGGGAGAAAAATGCAACAATGAATGTATGCAAATCCAAAATCTCTGTAAACCTTCATTAAAATTTAAAAGAAAAATAAAAGTTTAAAAAAGTACTATTCTACTATGAAACACAATGTGGGCAGAGGAATGCATCAAGTACAATGTATATAAATGAAACCATGAATATGCAATTTTGTATGCAAACCATAAAAATAAATAATAATTAAATAAATGCACCACCACTAACAAAACCAAACCACTATTAGCTATTGGTTGTTAAAAGTATTTCTTAATTAGCATTTTTATCATTCATATACACTGTGTTTTACGCATGTATGTTGTATTCCATACAATTCTTCATTTACATTATACTTTGTTATTTATATTATGGATATTTTGGTTTTTTGATCCCTTAAAACCATCCCACCAACAACTACTTTCTTGAAACTGTGTAAGCCAGCTACTTCATGCCTCCTGTCCTAATATCCTCCTTTTAGACAGCCAATTTCTGATTTGCCCATAACTATCAAACCAGTACTCTGAAGAAACAAGCACATCCCTTTTGCTGAAGGATTCACTGGTTCAACTTGGAAACTTTGAGTATTTGTATCCACAACCATCGTCCAATCCAAAGCAAAGCCTCAGGTTGTGGCAATCAATTCTCGTTCACAGAAGGGATCATATTCTCTTCATCCAGCTGGGTTCTGGTCAACTCACCCCCAGACATCTGTGGCTAGGTTTAAAAAGGGCAAGAGCTGCAAGCTCCACACTTCACCCTGAATTCCAGACCTCTTGGTTTTCTCCCTCAGCCCTAGGGCCCACATGGGGCCAAGCTGAGTCACTAGGACAGGGGTCCTCAAGACTCCCTGCTTTTCAAGCCAACAATCCTCTGCTCATCCATGCACCTGTGAATGTCTTGGAGGTGGGGTATGATAGGTGCCAACTTTACCCTCCCTCAGAAGCCCAAGGGCTTGTTCCAGTTATAAATCCACTGAAATGCACACTTCCCGAAGAGTACTAGGTGAGACTCAGTCTTTCCCCTTGACCATGCTCCAGCCCCCACTACCAGATTCTACTTCTAACAAACCTATCTCCAGAGTAGATCTTCACTTTCTGTACTCCAAATTCAGATTCTACTTCTAACAAACCTATCTCCAGAGTAGATCTTCACTTTCTGTACTCCAAATTAATAACTGGTGGAATTAAGCTTCCAAAATCTACAACACCCAACGTTCATTTATATAATACATTTTTTTTACCTCCAAATTTTTCTTAACACACTGCACTTTATCCATGTACACTGAACCACACACAATCCTTCATACACACTGTACTTTATACAATTAACTATCACCTATCCATGTCTTTTATCATACTGTCTCTAGACTCCACTATTCTGTCTCCCACTTCAACCACCATCTCAGTGATCATCTCTCTCCTTCCCCCTTTTCCACCCCTTCCTCTTTTATGACAAAATGAAAATGTTAAATCTCTTGTTCAGAAAAAGTTTCAGAGCACACACTGTATCTTACATATATTTATTTGGACAATTACTTGACATACTTAAGAAACATTATGGCAACACTTCTAAAAGGACTTAACATCCTTTCTGGGAAAACACACAAAAAGCTAGAGGAAAAACACAAAAGGAAAAGGAATATTCACTACTTGCTAGCAACTCTGTTAAAAATTTAAGAGGATATCATTTCAAAAGCATGACATTACAAATGATTTATTATTCTACTTTGAAATCTTCTATTAGAACATTTTTAAAGCTGGCAAAATAAAAAGTTAAAAGGAAATCTACTACTTCTTATTTAATCAATAATTTAATAAGGGTCACTTGAGGCATGTATAAATTGCCCAAAGTTTAAAAAAAATTAAGCATCTTCATATTGAAAATAAAGATTTGACAACATCAGGGAAATTGTATCATCCTTTCTGGAAAACTAACACTCACCATCAACTCCATTATAAGAAGCAGAAACTTCCTGGACTTCCTTTTTTGATCTCATAGGTGCCCAAGAGCCATCTTCCTTAAACTGAATCTCATCACAGTCTGTACAGTATTTTAAGATTTCCATAAATAATCTAGAAAAAAAAATTTTGTTTTGAATATAACATTTTAAGTGAAAATAACTAGAATTTCTGTTCCTATTTTTGGTTAACAATGCAAATGGTTTGGGGTTTGTTTTTGGTTCCCTCCCCGCCAAAAAGGTAGGATAAAAATTAACATCTTATTTTAAAAATTGAAGGAATATAAAAACAACTATGAGATACCATCTCACTCCAGTCAGAATAGCAAAATTTAACAGAACAACAAGCAACAAATGCTGGCGAGGTTGTGGAGAAACTGGAACCCTTATTCACTGTTGGTGGGAGTGTAAAATGATGCAACCACTATAGAAGGCTGTATGGTGCTTTCTCAAAAAGTTGCAAATAGAGATACCATTTGACCCATTAATTCCATTACTGGAAATACACCCCAAAGAGACCATAACTGACATCCAAGCAGATATATGCATATCCACGTTTATTGCAGCTTTGTTCACAATAGCAAGGAGCTGGAAATAACCTAAGTGCCCATCAACAAATGAATGGATAGAAAAGCTGTGGTATATTCACACAATGGATTAATACGCTGCATTGAAAAACAAGGAACTCATGCAGTATTATTCAAAATGAGTGACCCTGGAGGACATTATGCTGAGTGAAGTATCTTAGTCACAAAAGGACAAATACTGCATAGTGCCGCCGTTGTAAAACAGGACTGACCTTGGGGTTGGGGGGAGACTGAAATAGATGGGTTCAAGGTATACTGCGTTGAAACAGATGAGGGAGAAAACTGTTTAAGAGGGATATGTGACTAGGTATTTTTGTCATGACAGGAGTCCAGAGTGAAGGCTGTATAGTGGAGTGGACCTGGGGGCAGGGATTGTAAAACAATGAAAGAATTTTCTTTTACTTTTCAAAGAGGGTAGTGTACTAGGGAGGAGGGTTGGAAGGGGAGAAAAGTGCAACAATGAATGAATGGAAACCCAAAGTCTCTGTAAATTTTCATTGAAATTAATAATAAATTTTAAAAAAAGGAAATGAAAAAAATTGAAGGAATATATAGAAAAATGCTAGTGTTAAATGTCCATGGATTTATGCTGACATCAAGTTTTTAATAGTGTATAAACACAGTTATGTTAAACCAAAGTCCAGAAAAATCACACAACCATTATTTCTCCTGTAACCGGTTGCTGTTGATAGCAAATTGTGGCAAGCATATGCATGCAGAGTAGAACTGCTTGACAGGGTGTTAAGATTGTCCTTTCAGAACCCGATCACCTGGTCTGTCTATTCTTGGTGTCTCAGAGGGAGTATGAACAGCCAAACTTTTGTTTGTTGTTGTTGTGTGACATCAAGTCAGAACCAACCCTGGCTGCCTCTCCAGCAGGCTTTCAGAGACAGTAAGTCACACAGGAGAAGAGTGTCCATCTTTCTCCCATGAAGCATCTGGCAGATACGAACTGTACACCTCTGCACTGGCAGCACATATTTGTATCAGCTAGGGACCAATTTTTCTTTCACAAGCATACCTTTTACAACAACATTAACAACAACAAAATATCTCTGAGATGAGGTGGATCAAAAGTTAATAAAAGAACTGATAATATATTACCATTCAGTTCAGATTTCTTTTTTATCACAGTCATCAAGGAAAAATAAAAACATAAACCACTTAAGTTTTAGGTTTTCTTTTTAAGTACAGTCTACAATCATTTAAAAGTTGTGGATTATGCTTACATTGCTAAATATTGTGTTATGCCGTATTTTTAGACTAACATCTTTTCTCTGATTCTACAATCATACTGCCTTCAAAATTCTCTCAGAGAATGTAGAAAATATTAGTCTTCCTCTCAACAATGTTATCTTTGTTCAGTGGCAAAAAGAAGGCTAGAAAAAAGGAGAAAGTTAAGATGTACATTCCATGATGTCTGATAGTGTAGAAAAACATGGGAGTATGAAAAATTCAAGTGAATATTGTGCTGTTGTAGATCACCAAGAAAGACAAAGTCAAGTATTTCAGAGGGGAGGGAAAAGTAAGCTGATGTTCACTTTTCTTGTGGTGCCTACAGAGTAAAGTAGAAAAGATATGATGGATTGCATCTAAAGTGCAATCTAATCTCAAGAGCTAGGCTTCTATTAAAGAAGCCCCATTTTCGATGAGCTTAAATTAGTTATAGCTTCATCAATCTTCTTTTTTCAACATAATCTGTATGTCTAAGGACAGATGGATTAATCTTAGAAAAGAAGTCCTGTCTTGTTTTTAAGTAGTTCTAACTTTGTTGTTGTTTTGTGCCACTTAGTTGACTAAACTCACAGTGACCCTAGGCACATTAGCTCTGAATCCTCCTATCTCCTAAGCCAATCTCACTGTTGCTGACACACCCACCCTCACTACCTGAGTTACCGTGTCAATCCATCTCATCTAGAGTCTTCATCTCTTGTGCTGTCCGTCCACCCAACCACGCATGACATCTTTCTCCAAAGACTGGTCTCTCCTGGCTACATGCTCAAAGTATGTGACAAAGAGTCTCAAAATCCTTGCCTAAAAGGTGCAGCTTGATTTTACTCTTTCTAGGGCAGACCTGTTAATTCTTTTGGCAGTCCATGGTATGTTCAATACTTTTCTCCAGCACCACAACTCAAAGGCATTAATAATTCTTCTGTCTTCCTAAGTCACTATCCAGCTCTTTGCTGTATAGCAAGTAATTGTGAAGACCATAGCCTAGCCTGGATCAGGCACACCTTACTTAGTCTCTAGACTAACATACTGCTCTCCAGCACTCTGGAGAGGTCCTCGACAGTAGATTTTCCTAATGAAACTAGTCTTTTGATTTTCTGCCTCCTGGTGCCAAGAGTGTTGATTGTGGAACCAAGCAAGCAGAAACTGTTATCAATCTCAATCTCTTCTCCATCTATCATGATCTACTAATTGGCCCAGTGGTGAGAATTTTCATTTTCGTGATGTTGAGCTTCTATCTAACTGCTGCTTTAAATGTCAGAAGGTACTAACAGTTAAGTATTCATCTCTCAAACAAGGGATAAATAGGGCGAAAAAAGGGAGGGTAAATCACAATATTCTTTAAATCTCAAAATACTAATTTCTCTAATGATGAAAATATGAAAAAGATGTAACTTAAAAAAACATTAACTGCTCCCTCACCCCCAAATCTAAGTGTTAATAATAGAGATAACATAACTGCAACTACTTTATTATATTTAGAAATCCAATAAATTCCTTATTACATTTAAAAAAAAATAATAGAGATAACAGATGGTTCTTTCAAGGAACTAGGAAATACTCTGCTTTAAAGAGACATACCCATCAATAATTAGATGTTCATATGGAGCCTTCTTATCACAGACAGGGCAAACCCAAGTTGGTTTTTTCTCATTCATCTGAATATAAAGAGTTGCATCAAAACACTGCAGATGAGAACATGTAAGGGCCCGACATGGAATCGTCAGTCGCATTTTACCAAGCTTGAAAAGAAAAAAGGAAAAGTTACTATTAGACAATTATCATTATAAAAATTTAAACTGGTCAAAACTTCCTGAAACACAATGTATATATGCTCTGATAGAAAACATACTATGTTTACTCTGCCTCAGTGTGAGGGAACACATTTTCTATGAAACACACTGATAGGCTATAAAAGGCTATTTCTTTGGATACTAAACTGGAGACACTACATCAAAATTATTTCTTGCAATCCAGTCCACAGAATGGCACTTTGGCATTAAGTTCATGAGCTCCCTGAAATGCTATGACAAAGTTCCTGTGTGCCTTTGCTATCTTTCGCAATTTCAAAGGCAGCCTGGCAAACAACCCTGGAACACTAGCACCTTTATCTAGTGGTAGAACTTTCTCTTCTTGCTTGAGCTGATACAGGTTTTCTTATTGTTGTTACTGTGTGCTATCAAACTGATTGGGACTCCTGGTGACCCTACATGACAAAGTAGAACTCCCTCTAACAGTTATCTAGGTTAAAATCTTTACGCAACCAGGTTGTCAGATCTTTTCTCCTGTGGAGCTTCTAGTAGGTTTGAACCACTGGTCTTTTGGTTAGTATCCACTGGGCCATCAGGGCCCCTCTAAATGATGTACAGTGTTGCTTTGAGTCACAGCTCTGCTACCTTTAACCCATTAAAGGAAATAAACTTAACGGAAGCAGACTTACAAAGGGAGCTGCCACAGTAACACACCCTTGGTCCCAGAGGACCACCATGGGGACTGCACAGCCTTGTAACAATGATATTATATGTGAAACATCAGGGAAAGATATTGCACATCTTTGCGACTTTTAAAAAGAGAAATGCTCAAAAAGAATGTGAAGTAAATGAAGACAAAAAAAGGAAAAATATCGTGGCCTAGCAGAATTTCAGGGAAATGTGCAATTTCCTAGTCTACTGAGGAAATTAACTGTCATTCGGAGTCTTAAATTATTGTTCTGGTAGCAGTGATTTGCGGTGCCTATAGGAAAGGCACTTAACTTTTCCGGCCTTCTTTTTCTAATCTCTAAAGTAACACTGTTTCCTCCCCTTTAGATCATCCGGATGTAGGAATAAAGAAAAGGTCTTACAAAGGGTTATATAAGCACTTAGATTGAGGGGAGTAATGCCAGTTTACAGTATGAGAAGTATGGACAAAAGGGACCTTCCAGAGAGACGAAAAACTCCTTTCTCTGTGCTCTCACCTCTACCCCCAGCAAAGGAGAGCATCTCATGACATTATTTATGAGTGCATACACTAGAAATGTTTCAAATTCATTTCCTTGTTCTCAGCACTCAGAAGTGTATCTCCCATATCACAAAAAGATAGCCCAGTGTACCAAAGAGATTTCAGTTACGCATGTGGAATGGCCTTTTAGAAAGCGCCAATGACAGAGCGTGTGTGGGTCATTTACACAAAGCACTTTATAACGTAATCAAACTGGAATTCTGGAGTGAAGGCTACCCACTGCTGGCAAGTTAATTCCAACTCATAGCAGAGCCTACAAGGCAGAATGTAACTGCTACAGGGCTTCGTAGGTTGTAAATCTTTATGGAGCCGGGTGGCCTCTTCTTTCTCCTTTGGAACAGCTAGTAGGTTCAAATCAGTGACCTTCTGTTTAGCAGCTAAGAGCTTACTGTGCCCCAGTATTTTTTAGACTAGCTAGATTTAAATTTAGGTCCTACTACTTACTAGGAAGATCTGACGGCCTAGTGTGTAAGGAGTGGCAATGCTAACCCAAAGATATATTCTTCGAATCCACCAGCTGCATCTTGGGAGAAAGATAAGCAATCTCTTTCCACGTGATTTATAGCTTTTGAAAATTCACTAGTCAGCTATGAGTCAGTTCTGACTCAACAGTACGTAACAACTACTACTTACTGTGTAAATCCTAAATGTGGTTTTTGAATACAGATAAAACATTTATATTTACATCATAGTTTGGTAGGGATTATTCACACATACAATTTTATAGGAATCTCTGGTTGCATAATCTGAAAGGTTGTCTCTCTCTGGCAGTTCAAATCAACCAAGGGCTTTGTGAGAGAAAGATGGACACTCTCATTTATGTGAGTGACAGCTTTGGTAATAACCCTGTAGATGGTCAGTTATGAGTTGGTTCTGACTTGATGGTAATGAGTGTAGTAGGAGGGAAAGAAATGTTTATGGTATAGGACATGTTTGACATTGTTTGTCATCTAATTAAAGTTTTTTAAACTAATTAAAGTTTTAAGAAATATCTGCTTTAAATCACTTTGTAAACTAGGAAAAAACTATTCAAATCTCTACCCAGTCATTCTTCTATGTTCACATAGTCTGCAACAGCCTCATTACTTCCTAACACACTTCTGTTTAATTTTTAGAATTTACAAGTAAAAAACTCTCTTCCCATCTCTGTAAAAGATATTTCCCTGGGTACTATGAGTCAACAAATGCTTTTAATCTAGAAACACTTTTTAAACAATAATCTGGTTGGTGGCACAAAATTTTTATATTTTTTAAATCAGACTTTGACTCATCTGTAAAGGGCAAATTCCTACTTGGTAAGTATTTTTTGCTACTGCCCTAATATTCAATAGAGAAAAAATAGAATAAAAATGCTAGGCGAATAAGGTTAACAGTATACAAGGTCCATGTACTCCAGAACTAGTAGGCTATTTATAGTTTATGAGGACAAAGGATAAGAAAAAAGATATGAAATAAAGATTGTGTCAGTATCCAACCCATAGGGTATGGAATTTACACTGAAAAACAATTATTCCCCAAAATGCCTTCATTTCACATACTTCTGTCCCCATAACCCACAACTATTCTTATCTTTTTGGCAAAAAAGCAAGCCTGTCACGTTTTTAAATAGTAATGAAACACCAATGGCACACACAGACATATACAAACAGATACAAGGAGGCAAAAGTTCTTTTTAAAATGCATTATTCAGCAGGTCTCAAATAAATGCTTCTCTTCAAAGAACCACAAACTAAGTAAATAATTCTCCTTATATGCCTAACTTTAAAAAAAATCATTACATTAAAAACATCTATCCAACAAACGGATATTGATTTTCTAACAGTAAAGAGGTCGAGTTTTGGGTTAGCGATGCCACGTGCTCTGACTGTGCCACTAGAGCTGCAGAGAAGCTGTTTTGAACACCTTCAGTCTTCTAACTTCAAACTTCCCTCACCCCCACTCCTCCACAGAATGTGAGGGGTATCTGCATCACTTCTGAGCACACCCTTTGAAAACAACTCCCAAATGGATCTTCTAATATCACCAACTTTACAATATCGGTTTTGAGCTGTATTTAACTGATGGTGCTGCCAGAGAAGAGGAAATATCCTAGAGATAAGTTTCAATCTTGTTTATATAAAAATAAAACAATAAAGTCAATAAAGCATCTATCTTTCCCTTGTGAAAAGGGGTAATCTAACAAAAATAAATATCCAAAGTGTCCCACCCATATCAGCTCTGCGTCTTTTGCATTTGGGTTTACAGGCTCAGGAGTATCGCACAAATCGAATTCTTGGGTAGTCTTCCAGCTCTAATTTTAATAAATCAAAACTAAAATTTTTCCATCTAATAGCAAAACAACTTTTAATTATTTTTGTTGCCTTTAGCTAATGGTACATAAACAACAGAAATGCATTTATTTTTTTTGTATATCACAAGTACAATTCAAGCGCACAGTCTGACATCTTATTTACATACTTTGAAAGGAACAAATCTCTTTAATTATTCTATAAATTTGATATATGAGGTTCTATTACTAAATTTTAATTTTGAGCGAAAATATACCTAAACTACATAGCCCTACTTCTTCAGAATAACTGTAAAGGGAACACAAAATAACTTCTATGTAGTTTGAAACCAGATTTCCATTTAAAAGAAACTGATTTTACCATGATGAGTAAAAACAGGAGCAAGAAGACATAGGAAGAACATTAAAAGCTGGGTCACCAAATTACGAGGTGTAAAGTATGACTGACATTATTTCAGATAAATTACACATACTAGCACCACTCTGACCACCTTTTAAAATTAGACCACAGAGAAACAAGACTTCCTCCAAATGATTTAAAGGGAAAATTAGGCTTGCGCATTTTTCGAAATCTGTTTCTAAAGTGGATTTCATAACAGAATAGAGTGCCAAGAAACTACGTCACGCACTCATGTACAAGTGCTCAAGTGAGGGGAATGAGTCAGAATTTGGGACAAACAGGGTGGGATAAATACACTATCCAGTTTTGAAAACTCTTCTTCTTTCCACCTTTCACATTCTGATCTGTAAAAACTCACAGGGGGAGTACTGGTGCTGTAGTCCATACTGAGTTTCACTGCTAACCCCAAAGCTGCACAATTCAAGTGGTGTGAATCCACCAGCAGCTACTCAAGAGAAAGATGAGTGATTTCCTCCCATTGTGATTTACAGCTTCAGCACCCGAGGGTTGCTATGAGTTGGAACCTGTTCAACAGCAAGGAATTTGAGGGTCTTTGTTTTCTTATTGTTAGTTTTTCTGAAACTTCGAAAAATTGTATAATCAGTAGGTGTTATCTTAATAATTATTTTGGTAATGGCCAGGAGAGGTATTTGTTTTTAAAAAGCTTTGTAAACTATGTTAGAAATTAAAGAGCTAACAATTTTTCACATTATGCCTAATGTTTTGCAAATTATAAAAAAACCCCTAGTTTGTAGATAAATAATATTGATTTAATGTCTATTTGAATTATTTTTTTATTTCATATTAGTATTTCAGTTTAGATTAACAAGATTTCACTATTGAGAATGTTCAATACCAGGCGTGACCAAACAAGTCCTTTAGGAAACAGGTATGTCCTCTCATTCTTCACATCTACCCCCAGGTAGGTAGAATTAACTTAATTAATTACAGCATAAAAGATAATGAAAATGTTAAAACAATTTACTATTTATTCATCAGCTCTATTATTGGAAGATCTAACATCAAACTAATTAAGATATAAACCTCAAGGAAACATTTTTTTTCAGGCTTTCCCATTGTAGACTTAATCATTTAATAAATCTTTAAGCTTTCTACTTATTTCATAAAGGTGATTGATTGTAACATCATATTTCTGGTTTAATGGTATTTCTGCAGGCAAAAGAAATTAAATTATTCAGACTGATCAGAACAGTATCTTTTTTCTTCTTCTTATTAATTTTAATAAACATTTACAGAGGTTTTGGATTTCCATTCATTCATGCTCCGAACAGTTTCTAATTCAACTCCACTTACAGCTATGGAGTTGGAACAGACTCAGAGATGACCCTTCAATGTGTTTTCAGAGGCTGTAAATCAGAGACTGCCTATCTTTTACTCCAGGAAGCAGCTGGTGGATTCAAACCACATGCCTTTGGGTTATCAGCATAACTCCTTATCCAGTAGGCCACCAGAGCCTACTTTCTAATTATGATATACTTCTTGTTACTCTTGACAAAATGGTTAAATTGAATGCATGTATAATGATGGCCAGATTTTTATTCATAAGAGTATTTTTCTAAAAATATAATAACTTGAAAAAAACAAGCATTCTTTATTTTGAGATTTTACATTTGAATGAGCTAGACATGAGTCATATGTGATATTCAGGTATGTTTTACTAAGGTAGAAAATTTTCATAGCTTTATATGGATTCTAAAAACTATGCCTATATAATAATACTTTCCACTTCCATAAACTATAGAAATAACCTAATAATAAGAGGATATTTATGTCAAACTTCTTGGAAAACAAGTACTGTTTAACACTTACTGGACATAGTAGAGAAACCCTTAGGCTGGTTGTAGCTATTTCACTGTCTGGATCCGCAGTCAATTTCTCTTTAACTGATATTGACAAAAAACAAAGACAGAACAAGTTTATTAATTATGTTTCAGTTGAAGGTTAAATATGACAAGATCTTGATAATTTAGAAGTGTAGTTTTGTCCTCCAATGAGTTTTTTCTCCACAACACAGATCCTGTAGATATATATTATGTTTACATATACATATTTATGAAATAATTCTTATTCAAAGAATCTATTTCTGAATAACCTGAATGTTAAGTTTTAAACTTGATTCTTAAGCTTTCTTGAATTTAGCCTTTAAGCTTTTATTATTTATATATTTGTTTATTAAATTCTGTATAATCTTAAAAATCACTAATGCAACATTTTAAAAATGAGAATGTTAAGATGATACAGTTAAAAAAAGAAAGTGTAAATCTGCTTAATTATTTTCTAATTAACTGAAAAGAAGAACAGAACTAAATTAATGGCCTATAAATACTCTAACAAGCAAAAGGAGGAAAACAATTGTTTATATATGGCCCACAATATTTCCTGTAAATTTTCTATTTCTCAACTATAAAACAAAAAACCCTTAGACTGGTTGTAGCTATTTCACTGTCTGGATCCAGTCAATTTCTCTTTAACTGATATTGACAAAAAACAATATTCTTCTACAGCAAGAATCATAAAATAAGGCCTTTACACTTTACATATTCATTTTAATTCCAGATTATAAGAATAAAAAAATTCAACTGTTTCCTTTAAACCATGTATTTGAGCAAATACATCTAGTAACAAAGCTATCCTAAACAAGCTCTAAGCTTAATTTTATATCCAATTCTTAAACATATTAGTAATTTTATCTTCTAAAGGCTATCTCTTGATTACTTTTCCCTCCAGTTATTTCTGTAATTTCTGAAAATATTTTTGTTTTTTTAATAAAATTTTTTTATGCTGATTTACTTTAAAAAAAAGACTATCTCATTAGTTTCCTTTAGTCTAACATAACAAAACTATTTACACTTCTCAGCTACAAACTTGAAAACCTAAATCAACAGAACAAACATTTATTCCAGTAGGGGGCTCTGATTTCAGCAAAGTGTTACATTTAGGTCTTTTCAGTCACAATTCCATAAGGAGCTGTGCTGATAACCCAAAGGCAGCTCCTGCAATTAGTTCCAATTCATCAGCAGCTTCCAGGGTGAAAGACCGGCAATCTCCTCTCATGTGATTTACAAACTCCAAAAACCTGCTGGAGGGTCAGCTAAGACTTGGTTCAAACTCATCAGCAATGTTGTTATGTGCTGTTGAGCCAACTGCAACTTAAAGGGACTCTATGAACAGCTGATCTGGACTTGCCCTATCTAGTACCATCCTTATCATTTCTGACACACTAGAGCCTCCTTGTTAAAGTTTCATCAATCCATGTTGTTCTGGGCCTTCCTATCTTACACCGACACTTCAAGCATAATGTCCTTCTCCAACGACTGTCTCTCCCAACATGCCCAAAGTATGTGAGAAGGAGCTTCACCATCCTTGCCTCCAAGAAGTGCTGGCTGCACTCTATCCAAGAAATATTTGTTTATTCTTTTGACACACCATAGGATATTCAATATTCTTCTCCAACACAACTCAAAAGTCATCAATTCTCTTTCTATCATCCTTAGTCATTGTCCAACTTTCATATCCATAGTTTGGATCATATATGCACCTTATTCTTCAAACCGACATCATTACTTTTTAGTACAAAGAAGTCCCTGACAATAGACTTTTCCAAGTCAATTTGTCTTTTGATTTCTTGACTTCAGGTACCAACATGAGGACTTCTACCACTAACTTTTACTATTGGAAACTTATTAAACATACAGTCAAGATTCATTTGGGGGAAAAAGGAAGAGAATGGTAACTGGAAATAATGAATATGGTGATGAAAACGAGGCTGGAGATTGAATGATTCAATTTCATACAATCACTGGTTTATTCTCACAAATTGTGACTATACACATACTTGATGGACTACAGAGGAACCAGACTGACTACAGTTATGGAAAGAGTTGTTGGATAAATCCAGTATCAGCAGCCAAAACAGGCCACGTGCTAATTATGGAACAAACTATCAACTACTCATGCGGAAGTTCAAACTGAAATTGAAGAAAAAGAAAATAAATTTACAAGGACCAAAATATGTGCTTGAGTCTATGTCACCTGAAATTAAAAACCATCTCAAAAATAGGTTCAAGGCTTAGACATTAACGATAGACGATGAGCAGATGTCATCCATTAAGAAAGCAAAAGGTCATTACAAAGAAAGGGGAGAAAGACCAAAATGGATGTCAGAAGAGACTTTGAAAGCTGCACTAGAATGTTGAAAAGTCAAAACAAAGGGAAGAAGTGACAAAGAGCTGAACAGAATATTTCAAAGTTCAAGAAGATAAAGCAATAGCAATGAGTTAAGGTGAATATTCCAACTACTCCACAGTAACTATAAGATCTACCTGTGTAAGTGGTTCCAGAGAAGTGACTGTGTACATAGTAAATAATGGAATTTGAGGATTTGTGGCACAGCTAAGTGTGACCAGATAGGTAACATACAGCAGAGAAGAGAAAACTGGTAGAGGAAAGAGTACTGACATAGAAGAGTAACTTCAATTAGATGGCTACTGTGCTGAAAATAATTTACAAAATTCAAGAAGCACATTTTTATTAAATACGGTGACCATATTGATAAAACTTTTAATTTTTTAGATAGTCCCACTCTTGAATCTTCTAGACAACTGTTTCCACTAATTAGTTCTCAAAATAGGTATCAGAATTATCCAGTAATGCTTTATAAATATGTCCAATGAATCAGAATAGAAATCAAGGCCACCAATGGGTGGAGTTTTTTAAAAAGTTTTGGATGCTGTTCTGTTGCTAGAACCTCTACTGCAAATCATCTGATAGCCTGGAGATCATAAATTTTCAAAACCTATAAATTCTATTCTGTGAGTGGAGTGGTGGGAATGAACGTGTTTGAGACAGCGAGGTTGGCACAGGATAGAACGGCATTTAGGGCTCTTGTACATAGGGTTGTTACGAGTTGCAAACGGCTCGACTGCACATAACAATAACAACATATATTCTATAGAATGACTCTCACATTGGAAAAAGCATTAGACCTCTGATTTTTAGTCTGAAAAAGACAGTGAATTACATTGTGTCTATTATGTTAATTAATACCATATATAAGTTATGAAAAGTATGCCTTTCTGCAATTAGACCCAATCTTATTTCTTATAAAGATACTTTTAAAGAATACACAATATTAAAAATAACATATAATAGCCCAACAAAATAAACATGAAAACAGAATCTTAACATGATTACTAACTATACTACATGGCTTCACCAATCACCCAATCAACATTCTCCTACAGCAATGAGAAGAGTAACTGAATTTAGGCTTTAACATTTTGCTTAAATGAAGCAATACCATACACCATCATTTCAGCTTTGTGCGAAACAAAGTTTATGCTTAGTATTTAGAAAAGAATTTAAATAGGACAGGTAGTATGAGCTAGTGGTTAAAAGCACAGGCTCTAAATCTAGAGCCAACTCTATGCAGCTCTTATTCGCTGTGTATGCTTCAGTAACTTAACCTCTCTATGCTTCAGGGGTGTCATTTGGTAAGTAGGACAATAAAACTATGAGATTATTCTTTTTTAGCATTAATATATGCTTAACAGTCTATAAGTGTTAGTTCTTGATACTTAAATTTATGTTCATTTTCTCTTCAGAATAGGAAGAATTTCTGAAATTATCTTAGTATGAGATTATTAATTTCTACTTAAAAGAAGCCTGTTGAGATCTAGAAAAGGTATACTGGTATAGCACTGCTGGTCCAAAATCCATGAGTCTCTGGATGTCTGAATCCACCAGCAGCTCTGAGGGAATAATTCTCCCATGTGGTTTACAGACTCAGAAACCAAATGGAGAACCAGCTAAGAGTTGGTGTCAACTCAACAGGAACTAGTACTGAGATCTAGATTAAATCTTAGTATGAAGAGAAGAAACATATTAACAATTTTGACTTTGCACCTACAGAGGTCTTTTAATTTCTCCCATGTTGCTGAGTTGTGGTACTGAAGAATAGGACCTAGTATCCCAAGAACGGCCAAAAGAACAGGTATGTCTTGAAGTTGTCTGTGCAGCTGGAGTGCTCTGTGGAGGCAAAGATGATTAAGGTCCACCTCGCAGATAGTGGACATATTGACAGCAGAGGCTATTCCTGGGAAAGGGCCAGCATGCTTAGAAAGATGGAGGGAAAGCAAAGAGAAGAAAATCTCAAAGAGATAGACTGACACAATGACTGCATCAAGTGTGTCAAAAGAAGACAAGGATGACACATGATAGGACAGGGTTCAGGTCTGTTGTTCACAGGTTTGCTATTAGTGGTATTGAACTCGACTGGCATTTATTAACAGGCCAGGGGCTGATTGTGGAACAGACCACCAACTACTCATATGCAAGTTCAAGCTGAAAACTGAGGAAAATTAAACCAAATCCACAGGAGCCAAAATATGACTTTGATTTCATTCCACCTGAATTTCAGAATCATCTCAGGAACAGGTTTGAGGCCTTGAACACTAAT